AGTTTTCTTCTCAGAAGACTCTGATACCACGTTTTTTACCGAACTTTGCAGCCTTCGGCCACTGGGTGACTTCTTGATTTCCCGAGCTGTGTTATGGACAGACTTGGGGGTTTTCGGCGACGAGGGTCAAGGGAGTTCTGGTGAGGATTTGTATCTATTACCAGTCTTCCTATGTGGAGTGTCGGATGAGGGAAAATCTGTACAGGCAATGTATCTACAACTATAAGATGGTTCTCGAGCTCGTGACATGTAATGTGAATATGTCACTCAAGTGAAATAGAACCAGTTCATAACATTATCCCCCCTTTAATGCCCAAGCTTCCTCTTGCAAGCTCTGCATTCTTTCCACGGGCTGCGTTAAAAAACCCAGTGGGAAAAAGCATAGCCCTCTCACTTCTTCCGCCTTCTCCTTTTGTACTTATTTGTTGCGTCGGGATATTTTAAATTAAACTCATTAACTAAATCTTGACTATTCTTGAGGTTGATTTCGGGTTCCCATGAATTGTTTTCCTTGCCAAATCCTTTCCAACTCACAAAGTATTCCTTCTTGTTGTACCTTCTTCTACAATCTAGTATCTCGTTGACTTCCCATTCTTCTTCATCCTGTATTATGATTGGTTCGACTGGGGGTTGTTTTCGTTGATGTATTGTATCCGGGTTATGTTTCCTGAGTACAGAGACATGAAATACAGGATGGACGCTTTTCATGGAAAGAGGGAGATTCAATTTATAAGTAGAATTTGATATCTTTTGGATAATGAAGAAAGGACCTAGCCATCTATTTTCTAATTTTGGGCTTGGCCTAGTTGTCGAAATGTTTCGTCCGTTCAACCAGACTTGGTCTCCTACTTCCCATCTTGGTGTTTGTTGTACTCTTTTGTCAAATTGTTCTTTCATCTTCTCTTGAGTTAATTCTAAACATTGATTTAATTCAGATTGCACTTCGGCGAGTGTTTGCATCCTCTTCTCTACTGCTGGCACACACTGTTCAGCTGATGGTACTTTGTTGAATGATGGGTTAAATCCATAGTTAGCTTTAAACGGTGAAATGCCCGTGGATTCATGGTCTTTGTTGTTATACGAGAACTCAGCTGTGGGCAGTAGACTTTCCCAATCGTCTTGTCGATATTTAACGAAATGTCGTAAATATTGTTCGATTACTTTATTGACGATCTCGCTTTGACCGTCTGTACGTGGGTGGAAGCGGTTGACGGGTGAAGGCGTATACATAGGCGTT